GTAAAAAATTCTAAAAAATCTTTATTAAAAATAACTTATTTCTATAGCTGGCCAACAAAATGAACAATTAAAAAATTGTATTCAACAATTAAAAAAATAACCAGAAATAAATTTGAGAGTGAATGTTAAATGCATATGACTAGAACAGATGGGTGCACGGTATTAGAAATCCATAAACATCGAATTTTTTTAATAATAATTTCTATATAATTGACTCATTTTGTCCAAAGCTCCCTTTCCATCTTATTTTTTACCAAGGTTTTGTGATAATAACAAAAGGCACACGTTTCAAGTACCGAAGCTTCGTTCTCGACTTGCGTGATGAGAAATGTCTGACAATCCTGTCATAATAAATTATGATCGAATAAACGCATTGTTGTGTCAGGTTATATTTATAAGATTAAAGGATTTAAATGAATTATAGATTTATAGTAACAGGTATTTTAGCTTGTCATTTAACACTTTTTTAAATTGGCTGTCTTATTAAAAAGAAATATATTAATATCCAACCTACGTTGGGAATGAATTATAAAGATGTACCACGATAGAAAGTAATTTTTTAGAAATTTATAAAATGTGATAGGGGAGTCAATTATCATACAATTTCGTGGATAATATCAGTTTCAATCAGTTTTAAGAAATCTATTTAAGTCGAACTATATGCTAGATTGCCTATAGGAAATCGTGCTGCTTAGTTTTTTGGAACTCAATAAATTATGACAATAAAAAATTTTGTTCTGTAATATTTATACCGCTCTGAATCTGCATTCACATTTTATCGAAACAAGTATCAATTTCCAAATTACAATATGAGAAGCCATAGGCAACATTCAAAAACACGCATATGGAAATGTTGTTCTAATAAGAGACTAAGTCATTGTGTCCCTAAGGCTCAAATTTTTATTACGAGCAGGTTGCTAACAAAAATTATAGGCCTGATGTAAACGAGAAACTACTTAGTGGAAAAAATATTTTTGTGAAGATATCACATTACGACTGAAGTAGGTTAGATAATTTTTACATATTTTTTTTTTAAGTTTTAATTTCTTTTAACAAAGTGCAAAATAAACCGGCTCCTCCATATATGTTCAATCCAAATGTGGTGTTCTCAGACATCGTAAAAGGTTAACTTTAAAAAATTTTAATGGCCTTAATAATCATCTGAGAATCGCCAAGTGCTCTTCCTAATATACTGATATTGGAAACCATTAAAACGCATATTATCGGGATATGGGTTTACGTAGCCGTGTAATAAAGAGGCGAGAAAAATAAATCTGATCGCAAAAACTCGCAAAATAAGTAACAAAAATCGCTAAAATAATAAAGTGAATTACATTCTTTGATAAGATATAATTTTTACGTCAGCGCGATTATAAATAACGAAGACCGTTTGGGTGTAAATAGATTATTCCCTTTAATGATCGAAAAATAAAATTAATTAAAAATGTTACGAAAATAGAGGATATACAATTCTATGCGAGAGTTTTTTTCAATTTTGGTGTCATAAAAGTTGCAGATCGGATTTTCTGGTGGTAACCAACTTTGCCTTGGAGAATTTGTGATTATTATGCAGGCTTGTAGAAGTAGAATCTTGTGAGCCAAATTGTTCCAATTGCTCTCTTATGCTGGCATATCAACATAGGCTAAATTAAAATTTTATGACAAATCTGTCCTTAAAACAATGTCCTTAAATTTTCTTTTACCATTTCAAGTAAACAACAGAAATAACTATAAACCTTATGAAGCATAAACTCTGTCTTACAGAATATATTCAGTTGGCAACCTTAGGCGCTACACATGTAAATTCGTAATGATATATGTTATGCAGTAAACTACATAGTCCATTACATGGCACGTACAATAGTATATGATGGGATTCCATGCACAGAATGATCGCAAATGCTGGCAAAAAAGACAGTGGCGTTTATGGGAGTCACATTATTATTTTCCAGCACCGCAAGTGTGAAGATAAATTTATTATATGCATTTCCTCTGCGAAAATAGAAAAATGAAATATATGTAAGATTTATTTGGAATATGGTGGTGAATGATTTTATCAATCTGGGGAGTCGTTAGAACTTTCAATTTTGGCTTGCAATAAACAATTAACATGCGCATTTAAAAGAAAGAAAAATGATATAGAAGTATTTGAATGAGATCAGTGGGTAGTTTGAGCTTTGGTCTGGTGGGCTGGTTCTCTGGGTATACTCTGTTGGCTAAGTTTCTGGTTTGGATGGACGTCTGCTTTTGCAATTAGAATTTAAGTTTTACACAATGAAACGATTTTGTAAAAAAAAAGATGGTAAAACAAAAGCGTCATGGAATTAAAAGGTAAAGTTAGACCGTATATCTTATAATTCATGGACTGCTAGTTGAGTGCAAAAAAGTGTCGGAAGCGATAAAGACGTCACCGGGTGAACGAGCGTTGCAGAGAATCGTCGTATACTCCCGATTATTATTGTTGATTCTACTGAAGCAATCGAGAGTATTCGATAGTTCTCGGTAACGCTCGTTCACCTAGTGAAGTCAGTATCGCCTCTCAACTTTTTAACACGGAAAACGTAAGGACTAGTCATATGATTATGTCATCGACCTTATACACATGTATAAGTATTATAAGGTTTATGGAATTAGCAGTCCATGTATTATCATGTCTATAAGTTAGACACATCCTAAGTATGTAATGTATTGTACAAAAAAAATGTTTGGGCAGATTGAAAAAAATTGATATACTGGTGAAGGATTTGAAGTGTATCATCAAAATAACATTTAGAACATGTAAATTAATATAATAATCAAAGCAGTGCAAATTTTGTATCATAAATTTGTTTACTCACATCATAAAATTGTTGTAGGTACTTTTTTATTTGGCCTTATAATATTTATCAGAAGTAGGATCGCATACACTTGAAACGTTATAGGATAATGTCATATTTGATGCACTTGCAAAAACACTAAAATTATGGTTATACATGATTGTATCTTTATTTTCTTGGTCAGAAAAACAATAATGTGTTACAAGACAATCCATTTTCGCGCCACTGACACTTCTCGTCGGTGTTACAGCAAGCGTCCATTTTAATAATGTATCCCGCATGCAAATTTCTCGACGTTTCGAAATTTATTTCACTGGAAATTCGGAAAACTCGAGCTCGGCATCTCGCACCAGCAACCGGCTTGCTCCCGCAGCGAAAAGCGAAAAGCAGGAACCTACTATCATAGAATATTCCATAAGACAGAAGTCAGCGTATAACGGAATAACGGAGATGCTGGCGTTAATGTTTGATAAGGAATCAACATCTATGGCAAAGATTGTTCGTTGCATAATTCATGTTAAATGCTTTTCGGATGGTAACTAGTTTTTACCTGGGAAAAGGTAGTGTGCAGTTGAATAAATTATTTAGAAATGGCAGAAGATCTTCCGGAGCTTAATGCGGTCATATTTCTGTATTAATGTACCATTATCTATTGATGTAATAGTAGTTGCTTATATATAACAAATATTCTCATGCAACAATAAATATACCAAGTTCATATTGAAATTGAAGATAAAATAAGTTAAACAACATGGTGATTGCCATTAGTGAGTTCACTGGGAAAGGGAATACTGTGTATGGGATGGACCAAAAATCTACTAATAAACTATCAAGATCTTCTATTTTAATCAATGTATTATTATTTTAGAAAGATTGAAAATAAAATAAATCTTTTTTGCCTCTCTTCTTTGTTCATATGCTACTAAATTTTTCATCCCTTCACTTCGTAATTGAATCTCGTTGCAAATTACAATAACAAAACATAAAAATTAAACTTACAACATCTCCAATCCATCGATTTACATTTATTTAATTTATTTCTTATATTCGATTCAAGGGGCTTATGCGAGTGAATTGGAAAAGTTAAAACAGTAAGCACAACCATGCGTCATATTTTCAATCTTTCTTCGGTTGTTTTTGCATTTAGGGAAAATTTCATATTCAGCTTTTCTTTGCTTCCGCACAAATGCGCAGGTATAGAAGAAGTTGGAAAATATGAGATATAGAAACCTTTATGAATAGAAATAGAATTTCAAGAAAAGTTGCAAGCAAGTTTCTAGATCGAGGAATTATTATGCGCTGATGCAGTTTGGGAGATTTGTTAGTTTTGGGAATGGAGTCAAAATATTTTTGATTTATATTGTTAGGGCAACTTCTCGTTACTAAATAACAGACCCGATGTCTAACTTTATAATTGATTTGATTTCTCTATGACACAAAACCTATGACCACGTTCGAATTAAAAGACCGAATTAAAACATTTACATTACCCTGGCGCATTGTGCTACGTTAAATAACTTTATTTGCTATGGAATTCCAACAATTCAAATATCCATGGAAATCAATATGCGTGCACACCAAAAAAAGCACCACGGGCTTTGCAAACACAGTTTCGAACTTTCATGATATTGAATTCGTTATTCATTCAATTAGCCAGCGGGAAATTGGCGGAATAACTGAATATAAAACTAGAATTCGTATGTTTTGGCTCGATTCCAAAAACTATATCGTCACATCGATGGCACGATCTCAATCATTCTTTATGCCGGACTTCATAAAACTCAATAATTCCTTCATCGGGATAGAGGAATGTGTTTACATATTCGTATCATCAAGTGTTTATTGCGATTTGGCTCCCAATCTGCGCATGAATGAAAATCATTCACTATTAAAATTGATATAAATAGTTTTTGACAAAATAAACTTTACGAAATACTAAAGCAAATATATGGGGATCTATTTTAAATACGCAAGTCTTTCAGAAATATATAACCGTTTTTGTATTTGAACAAGCAATACTCTGCCTCAGCAAATTTTAAATGCTATATTTATATTTGCTATTAAATAATCATGAACGTAAAATAAAAAATCAACACATTGATGAAATATTAAATGTTGTTTTCGATCATTATTCTACAATACGTTGATGATTTTTATCAAAGTGAACTATGCCGAATACTACAAATGCAAATAACGTACTATCTTGAACCTTGCCTAGATTTATTGGAAAAATCTAAGCTAAGATTTGTTTCATTTGAACAAGTTCATGAAATAAATAAAACCAGGTATTTATTTATTTTTTTACTCTTTCCAGCACAATGTATTGGACCTTTGGGAATGGAGCACGGTCTCATAAAAGATGAGGATATAACAGCAAGTTCGTCTTTTGACAGCGGCAATGTTGGACCGCAACACGGGCGGTAAGTAATAATATATTTTATAATACGAACATTCATTTATTTTATCATACATCCATCATAGCATAAATTAAATTAGAGAGAACATTCCTTAGGAAACGGTTCTTTGGAAAAACTTTCTGCATAGTTTGCACAGAATGTAGAACATAGGGATTAAAATATTCGCATATGGCAAAGCTAAAATAAAATTGTACCTAATGCTTAGAAACGTAGAACATTATAACTCAACAAAAATATCTCTTGTCCCAAGATATCACATCGACGTCACATTTAATTCTCATTTATGTTTATATAAACCGTTCTATACGGCCATAAGCCCATACAAACGATTCGCAAGTAAGTTTCGTAAGATGCGGCAACACTCGAACTTAATTTCCAAGTATGAGTCTCCGAACTCCCTAATTCCTGCAAACTCCTTTTACTTCGCCTTGAAGAGCGGGGTCAACCAAGCGAGACTCCGGAACAACTAGGAGCAGAGTGGAAGAGTTTTTGTTTAATGCCAAGGATGGGTTACGATATTTTGAGAGTTTTCCAAAGTATACCATTGCCGATACGGTAGTTGTATTATGATATGAATAATGACATCCCAATTGAATTTGGAAAATGATACTTTTGACGTTATTTGACTCGGATGGTAGAGGTAATGCATTGTTTTGCATAGTAATTTTTTGATGGGAAATATCGAGTTTCAAAAAGAAATATGATACTTTAGAATGGGTAGAAGATTGTATACTAAATTCAAATATGTTTATAATGCGAATAAAAATATTACCGTTTTCAATACTCTTCAGTACATTTTTGCAAGTATATACGGACTGGGTTTTATATTTTTCACGTAGAAAAGCTACTTGTCGACAAGATCGTATATAACAATACGCTATAGTAAAATATTAAAATGTTATTTAAAGTATATATTGCTACTTATTTTTCTTGCTACAATCATGAGAATTTAACACAACTGAATCAAAATTTTAGATATACAGAGCTTAATTCGTAAAAATGTGTATGCAAACGAAGCGAATAGATGAGCTGGTGTTTATTAGTATCATCATAGTTTTAAAAATAACCGAGTTTTTTTACGAATTTTCTCTATTATTTCAAACTTCGTCGTTTTCCCAGCATCGTATTTATAGATGTATAATCACTCGGTTTTAACCAGCACGTCTCTCTCTAATAGAGAGCTTTTCCTTTTCGTTCGGTCACGGGTCTGTTCTCTTCGACGCGGAAAAGCTTTCAGGCTGTCAATGTTTTCCACAAATTTCTCCAAAACTTCCATTTCGTACATTGATATATTTGTGTGCCCCGGATTAATAATATATACCTGTACGTTTGTGTTAATAACGCTTAGAGCAATGTCTAAATTCAGAGGAAAGTTTAAAATACTACCATCTATAATATTCTCAAGTACAACGTAAAAGATACTAAATATTTAGAAAGATCTAAAAAGTACTGATGGTCCTGACTACTAGACTAATAGCAATTACTAGAATTTTATCTAGCTTGATAGTTAAAAATGGATCAATTTAAATAACAGATCTAACTGATTTATTTTCTACTTACTTTCACTTCTCGATAAATTTTATTAGCATCAAATATAATTAAAAATATTTATTTTAACTAATGCATAGCAAGTAAAATCATTGTATATTATCGTTATATTTGATTTCAAAAATCCCTCAAGCACTTCAAATCGTTATGCAAGTGAATATTATGGATGGAATTATATCATTGTATCATCGCCCCTAAGTAGATCGAAGAGTTTTATGACTTGAGAAGAAATAATAACCGCAAAATGAAAACCAGTAATCTGGCCATGAGATCCGCGGGGTGCCAAATATCCACCTCTACCACCCTTGTTTCTATCTCCTCAACATGACGAAAGTCAAAGTGTGGTTGATTTTAATGATCTAAGAGGGTAACAATGGGCTTTACCGTTGGAAGTTTTCATCAGTCTCGCATATTAGATATTCTTAGTCCGGAGACTAAGCCATGTCTCGAGTACGTACAAGGGCAAGGTTTCTTGGCTCTAGTGGTACTTATACTTTTGAACAATCTGCTACAAGCCCATGAATATTGAATACATAATTTATGTTTAATAGTTCTTGGGGATTTCGATTAAACCCTTCTGTTGGTCATACACTTTTGTAAATAATAATCGAAACAGTTCATGGTAATGGGGATTATCCAATACTACTTCTTTAAATCAAAGGTTATTACATTTCCTTAAAATTGTATTTCTGGGTAAATGTATTTCCATCCTATTTGAATGAAACAAAGTACCAAGTTGAGATAGTAGTCGCTGAAAACTAGCACGAGTTTTAAATGAGAGTTTCATTTTCCAGCTGCGGAAAAGATTTCATAGCTCCACAAGAGTGTCACAGATGATATTCGCATTCTTGGCACGGCTCGGCCGACAATTCTATTAGTACGTACATGTGAGAGACTGGTACTACACATAAGGCAAATAGGGGACGAGTAATGTAATCTACTCGATGCGTCGCCGACGTGGTAATTCGATTTAAATTTTGATTGTAAAGGAACAAGAGCTCGGAAATTTGCGGCGAAGATTGTTACTTGACAACATCTTCGATGATTAAATGAATATTGTCAATTTAAACGCACAGGCTAATAAGGAGCATTGTTCCAACGCGGTCGGCGTGGAACTGAAGGAGTTTCTAGAACTATACTGGTAATTAAATGGTAATTGTTTCAAAGAATGAAAATAAGAATTGAGCATGAAAAACTAGTTTGCATTATCTTGTGAATTGGTGTGATAAATTATAGTTCATTATTCATTGCAAATACTGTAAATATTTATCCTACTTTCTATGTATATAAATATCCTAATTGCGCACTTTCACTTCGAGTATCAATTCGTAGCACTTCTGGTATTTTCACAAATAGTATTCAACAAACAACAAAATGAAGCCTCCTTAAGAACATTCCAATGTCTATCAAATGTAACTGCTATATCCAAGCATTTCCACAAATACAGTTGCTTAAATCAGTACTTCCAAACATAACAAAAATAAATGAATCTTCTCTTTGAAAATGCAGTAGAAATGTAAAATATAATATGGAAAATATGAATTTGTATGATGAATTAGGTATGATTAGTTTTGATGCCACAATATAGTCAATAATTACATTTAGCAAATGTTTACTGATTCTTTTAATATCTATCCCCAATTTCCAAAAATTTACCAGATTATTCGTGATATAGTGCACAAGTAGTGCACAGAAGAAAATGGTAAAAATATACATTCTCTCCAGGGGGTTGCATAATGAAGTGAACTTTGGGGGTTCATGAGAAGGGCGCTTGTTCCACAAGATATTTATGTTAAGGATATTAGGCAGCTATTTGTTTGCGTAACCAAGGCTTGTAAATAAACATATGTGTTATGTCAGGGAATAATGGAACGTTGTTACTCAAGATAACTGAGGAAAATAGTCCTGATTATTTTGAAAATAAATTAACAAATATTGGATTAGTAAGTATTACAAACTTAATCTTATTAAGCAGGCTTAGCAAAATGCTTTTATTTAGTAGAATTACAAAAATTAAAAACAAAAAATTCGCAATTGAATTTATTGAAAATTTATTCGAGATCGCTTCATCAAATATTATTCGTATTTGTTTACCTACAATAAGAATGTTTTATAAAGATTCAAAGTTCAGCAAATGCATTCATACCATAAGTTGAAATTGAATTTTAAAATGATTTTTTACCAACTCGTTCTGATCTTTCACCTCGAGTGGATACCATTTCCCAAAACTTAAAAATTTATGACTCTTTCCCATACAAAAAGCTGTTTATTTTGAGATTTGCTTATCCTCCCCGTATACAAAGCAATTCGTTGAAAGAACCGCCGCCTGCATAAGGTATAAATACAGTAATAGTTGTCTACAGAGCTCATATGTCAGAATTCGTAATGTCTTTTCTTGGGGTAAAGGAAAAGATGGTAGAAAAAATCAATTTCCTTTCCGAAACGACCCCACAAGGAAAAACATGAAAATACATGACCGAGGGAGAATTGCAAGGTGCCCCTACGCAAACATTAGACTTTTGCTGGTAAAATGAATTTGTAGTACACAGTGCTATCGTGCACTTTCTTATTGGTTTACGGTCTTTATCTGCAACCCTACATTATTTGTAGCCAAGAAAGATAAGGAGAACTTCGAGTGATGGTGTCACGACATTTAGAGGAATTAGTCAAACGGAGGAATTTCCAAGTTTGTTATTGAAAACGTGGACGAAATATTTTATACGGAGACTCTCAACAACAAACATTCAGGGGAATTTGATTAGCAGAAATTATATAAATGGGATTGTTGAAATAGTGACATAGTTATATAGGTAACGAAATCCCTATATAATTCAAGAGGGACCATACATTGGTATTTTGTAGTAAGAATATGAAGTCAATCATTGTGAATCTGATCAGATTTCGAATTTTTGCATCGGCATTGTCAATATCTAATAATTTTTCAGGTTTAACGAAATAATTTGATATTTTGTCCTGATTATTAATGCAAACTGGAAAAACGAAGTTGGCTCGACTATGCTAGAAAAGAATATCTCGTTCGTTATCTCTACAACCCCCTTGGTTATTAATAATCAAATTCAAAAGCAGCAAAATATATTTTTGTAATATACATATTAATATACATATATATATATATATATATATATATATATATATATATATAACTTAAAATATAGATTAGGCTAACCTTTTGTGACTCCTCGATCCATCCGACATCTGATGGTTGATCCTGAAAAAAGAACACAAGTATATTAATAATCTTCTCAACATTATTTTCTTTCAGAAACTGCACAACAAAGTTATTATTTCATCATTTTATTTATATAATTTTCTCGTCCAAATAGATTGCTAATTTAGATATTTGCTACACAAATGATAAATATAAATCCACCTGAACTCATGACGTATATAACACAATATCCATCATTAAACAGTGATTTCTATTCTGCGGATTT